AAGAATGTATATTTAAAATTACTTTAATTTCACAGGTTGCCTATTAAGTTCACTCGCTTGAGGTTGAAAAGTGACCTTCTCAGTCTCACACAGCTGCAGTAAAAAGTATCATAATGCATGTCAGTATGATGTACTGCAAAAACAATCATCCTCATCATTTCTGTATGTTGTGCTGTTCTCTGATCATTTGTTGTACACACGTTAAAACTATTGCTCACATTTTTTGTTTTGCTTTTGTATGGGGTTTGGAAAAATATTTAGTTTTCATACTGTTTTTACTCATATTTAAATACTAAATAAATAATAAAGTGATTGGACTTGGGTTGATTTTCTTATTTGGGGATCTGTATACATTTGTATATAAATGTTAAAACCACTAACTATTTAAGGTAGAATTAAACCATTATGATCTTTCTTCCTGATGAAGGTATGTGGCAGAAATGTTGCACATGTTGGTGAAGATTTTCAGTCATCCAGGTCATAGTCATTCCAAAAAAAGAAAAAAACAATCCACTGGACTTTGTTTCCAAGTTTGAAGACGTTTCGCTTCCCACCCAGGTAGCTTTTTCAATCAAAAATGTCAGGAATAGTGTTGAGAAACTGTTAATGTTAAGAAAACTAACCTTAAACAGGAAGCCTTTTTGAATTGAAAAAGCTTCCTGGATGGGAAGCGAAACATCTTCAAACTTGGAAACAAAATCCAGTGGATTGTTTTTAACTTAATTTAAATAATCTAAATTGAAGAATCCAGGAGTGCTGCATAAATGTGATGTTTGTTAAAATTTATTCTAAAGAGTAGATACATCTAGAACAAACCTTTACCTGGCTTTGCTGCAGACAAGAGTGGAATTGGAGGACCTCAATTCTTTGAGTGTTGTACTGTCATAAAAACATCCTTATATTCCTTCTAAAAAATGTTTCTCACTCTTTGGTGCACAGATAGCAGGGCTTGAATTTTCTCATCTACTTTGCTATCAAATGTTTAGACATAGAAGTACAGATCAGGAAAAACAGAAGCCTTTTCTTCCAGGGGAAATACTCAGGCCAAACCCAAAACAACAGAAAACATCTTCAGAAGAGCACAAACTAGTGGTTTCTAGTAAAAGAAAATGAATGAATCATTAAAAGGTTTAAATAACAGCCAGTTATGACTCAAAATCCTTACATTTCTGATTGGAAACAGGAGGATCCAAGGAGATTCAATGTTTCAAAAGGTCTAGCCAGAATCGATCCACTTGTTGGTTCTTCTAAGGGGGGCGGTGGACAAAAAAATGTCCTCAAAGGACAGCAGATTAGGAAAATTTTTACAAAACAGATAGGTCAGGATGTGTAATGTTGATGAACTAGAAAGTGCTATTGCAGTTTTGTTATTTTGTTATATTCCCACTCAAACCATTTTTTTATTAGTTAAACATTACAGGAAAACACCTAAAAAACAACATCAAAATCTTTTTTTTTTTTTTTTTATCTGCAGAATGTGAATAGCTATTCATTTCAGGCGGTTAAGGAGTGACTAATACTCTACCTGTAATTAATCATGTCACAGGAGGAAGCATGGAAATATTTAGTAAGAGGTTAATCAGCTGACTATATTCCATAACCAGATGAGGTTCTCAGTAACGGACAAGGAAAGCACTTTAACATGCTTATAGATAAACATTTGCCAGAGAGGCGTTTGCAATCAATCAAGAAGCTGCTGCTCGTTCCTCCACTTGCCCAAACATGGTCACGTATGACCAAGAAAGAAATTCCTCACGGTTTACAAGCCACAACATGCTGCAGTGATGACCTTCTGTCCGCCGCCTTGGATTGTTTGTGATCAGGTTGGTGTTTTGTTTTGTGGGCCCTAAGCGTAAGAAAAATACCCTTAAGGTCCCCTGTTTGAGTTCTTCAATACATTTAACCTGACTGCATAAATAAACATAAGGTCTGCTGTTGCCTGTTTGGAAGATATTGTTGTTCTTTAAAAAAAAACATCTTTGCAAAGTAGATGGAAAGACTGTCAGACTAAAAAAATGTCAGCAGAGAAACAGTCCTAAATTCCAAAGTGATCAGTGATTCTCTCCACAGCAGCAGACTGAGTGGAAATAAACGACATTTGGTTGTTAGCCTCCCTAGATGGCGTATTGAGCCTCCTTTTATGGAAGCACACAGGCCCTGTCAGTTGCAGCGTCCCAGCTTGGAGATGCACAAAGCCACAGAATGAGAACAAAGTTTACTTTAGGAAATACCTGCTGCTGTGGAAAGTGGCAAACAGAAAATAACTTTTTCCTGTTGTTATCACCAGGAAACAGATCCTAGTAAAGCTGCTGTTTGGCACACTGTTGATTAAAAAATGTGGTTTAACTTCTGTTATTCCAAAAACAGGACGGAACGGATTATTACTTTATTTGATCTTACTTATTAATGGTTGATTTGTTACGAAATTACTCTGTCAACATTAAACATCTTATATTCACCTCCTATAATTTCTAATTTGTTCTACCATTTAGAGGCTCCAGCCAGACAATACTGAAGAAATTTCAGAAGACATCTCTACTTTACTTGAGTAATTATATTTTAATCAACTTTTTACCTCTACTTCTTACATTTTTTAGCAATTATCTCTACTTTCAACTCCTTATATGTTAAAAATAGACTTGTTAGTTTTGTTCCATTTAAGCTCATTTTCATTATGGACTGTTGGTGTTTAAAAGCAATAAAAAAAACCATCAAAATTATTTGTTTCATCCAGAATATTAGTTTATTCATGGCTAACTTGGTGCTGCATCAACTTGTTCTTCACCACATATTAAAATAAATATTTTTTCAAGATGATGCAAACATAAATTTGACACTGTTGTCATTAGTTATAAAACTAACAACATTTATATAAAGGAAATTATCATCCAGAAATGTTGAAAATTGTTCATTTAATAGGGTAATGCAGTAGAGCATTTTTCCTCCATTACTTTTACACTTTAAGTACTTTTCAAAGTTTTACTTTTACACTTTTAATTGAGCAAAAAGCATTAGTTGTTACTCTAACTTCTACAAAAGTGTTTTAAACAGTAAGATTTATACTTCTACTTCAGTTATGAATATTAATGCTTTTGACACCTCTGGGTCCAGCCAATGTAACTGAAGATGATACGTGACTATTCATACAGTCTCATCAGGCCCATGCAGGTTCAGAGTACAGTAATTCATCAACATTGCAAAATTATTCCAATTTCTCACTTGCATATATAGTAGATAGATGCAAACCTATAGTACATGAAGGGAAACGTCTCCCTTTTGTCTGCATCTCAGACATGCTGACACTAACATAGCTATTGTCTTAATTCCGAGCAGCATTCGTTCCCATGGAACATGTCAAACACAGTAGAAAAGGACATTGAAAGGAAATGCTTTATCTGCAAACTCTTTGTTTTCCTTGGTTCCGGAGATTTTTTCTTTCTACGTATATGATGGAAGTCAGAGGTAGTGTTACTGTACCTCCATTCTTTTTTTCTTTTTTTTTTTTGGACCACTTGTTGTTGCTTTTTTGTTTGTCTACACTCTTTTTATCTTTGCATATTTTTCTTTGCAAAATGTCTAATGCATAATTACATTTAATGGGGAGGATCTGTCAACATTCATTTCAATATTTTGCCACAGATGAATTGTGGTCTTGTTTTAAACTGTAGGCATCAAAAACGTGAATATTCTCCTTACTTAACCTTTCCCCTTAAGCACTGACTGTATTTTCATAAAACTACCCTCTTTTTAACCCACTGTATCTTCCCATCAGCTTGGATCAGCTTCCCTGCCATTTCTGAATAAGATCGCCCAACATAATGCAGCTACCACCGCCATATTAGTAATGCTGTGTTCTTGGTTGAGATGCAATTCTAGCTTCCGGTCTCATATAATATTTTGTTTGGTCAAAAAGTTCCTATAAAGCTTATGGCAAACTACAAGTTGGCCTCTTTATTGCTTTCTGACATGAGAAGCTCTCTTCTCAAGACTGTTTCATAAAGGCTAATATATGTAGTAATGAGATAATATCTGTCAAACAGATTTTTCCACTTGAGATGCGGATCTGTGCAGCTCCTACAGGGGTATCAGCTTACCACCATGCTCTTTTCTGCTTTTTTCATTCAGTTAAGATGGACTGCAAACTGCAGTCTTTTCAAGTTTGCATTGTGCCACATGTTTGAGATATTTTATACACGCTAACCCTGCTTTAATCTTCTCTACAGCTTTCTCTCTCTGACCTGCCTGCTGTGTCCTTTACCATCATGATGATATTTTCTTATTGATGTTCAACAAGCCTGTGACACCTTCAAACAACATTCAAATTTAAATGACCAAGGTTGAATAGCTGCTTATAAACCACATGACCTCTGAATGTAAATAGTTGGACTGAATGTTTTCTACAAGTATCACAAGAAAAAGGGCTAAAAACACATGCGTCCCACATTATTCAGATTGTTGTCCCTACAGAAAAAACCTTGTTCTTCTATTCTAAATCATTTGGTTTTCCTGCTAAAAATAACTACTCACCCCCTCAACTTCTGTTTTGGTTTTATCTATATATTTTCTGTGAAAAGGACTGAAAAGAACAAATACCTTTGACCAAACATTGTAAATTTTATTTTAGGAGCAAGATTTGCCTTTCTTCTTTTTTTTATTATTTGGAAATGCAAAGTTTCTGCCATACAGCAGAGATATTTTTGTTACATATTGTAAAAACCATAAAGCCTTACCTATTCATTCAATACCAAGGTCCATTATGTAAATTGTTAAAATACATTTACATCACGGTTGTAAATACTTCTGAAAGGTGCAGTAAAAAGATGTCATTGTTTGTGCACAGCCATTATTTTTACGTGATCTGACCTCAGTGACACAGAGAAGGAGGTGAGCAGGCTCTGGTGCTACAAACAGATTTTCAGTCCCCAACCAGACAAGCCTGTGCTTCCATTTACTGCAGCCCAATGTGGTCGCAGCTTTTATCTTCAAGACCATCTAAGGAATCGGAGTCAGACTACACTTGGCATGTCCACCTCTGAGCGTCCGCAGCCACACATCTGCTCAGTGTATGAGAAACAGGTTTTAAAAACAAGCGATGGTTCTCAGTCCTGATTTGGACAGAACCAATGTCTGTACTAATAAGGCGGATTTGAGGGAAAGGAAGATTAAAAGATGTTCAGGTTTTATTATAGCGAAAATACCAAAATACTTCATAACATCTTTGATTTTATAATGGAAGTTTTTATGATTTATGATCTAATATAAGTATAATCAATATTGATACATATAATATCACAGAATTCTTATTTTCAAGCTCAGAGTTAACATTTTTCTAGCAATTATTGTTAATATTGTTTTCAAATTTATTGGTTATTTGAAATAAAATTGGCAAAATTTTTTATTCAAAAGTTAACTGACGCTATTTGAATCCAAAAATTTTGGGGAAAAAAATCCTTCAAAGTAGCTATTTCCTTTATGATATGGATCAAACAATCTTTTTACAAATAAAAATGCCTCAGATAACCTTTTTCATCCCATCTATAAGATGATGGAGGTTAAATAAGTTCAAATTCAACATTTGGGCAATATTTCCTAAATGCAAATATTTCTTGTCCAGGATACTTCTGATTGAGCTTGTAGATTAACAATAAATTAAAATGTGTTGAAATAGGAAACAGTTCTTCTTTTAAACTCTCATGAGAAACAGATTATGATTAAAATAATGTTTCGTTTAAAGAGATCTGCTTATAAAAATATATAACAAAAAGACAGAACAAATGAAAACATGTTTCCTGAATCTACTGTAAATGCGAAAGTTGCTTTTGTTTTTTTCTTAAACAAGTCTCCTAAATGTTGAAAGCAATGCTCCTTAATATTCACAACAATATAATGCACCAAATACGATGATCAAACTTACCAGGGATGCAGACAAGAGTGCTTTTTGCTGCTGGAAATCAGCAGCTGAAGATCGTCTGGAGGGTTTATAAGCAGTGCAGAAAGTGCTGAGCTCCGCCTGCTGAAGCTACAATATTTTATTTGTTGCATAGTGCAGATATGTTTGTACATGCATTCATTTTATAAATGCAGTTGATGTGTACTCCTCTTAAATGTCTTCATATCTTCTGAAGTTAAAACCAAAACCATGTATTTTATCTGTATTTCATTTTTTAAACAAAATTATATAATTGAAGTTAAGAGATACTGAAAAGTAGAATTTCACAAACAAAGAACCTAATAATATGTCTTACATTTGCATTTAGCCCCTTTAAACTGATATCCTTCATCAATCCATTCTATCCAGTATAATTAGTTGTTTTCGGGAGTTTCCTGTCAGTTATTCTGTAAGCTGGCCCTTTATTAAAAAAGATCTATGTGGTCAAACTTGGAATATTTTGGACCTACACACCGAATGTTGCTCCTTACTTAAACTGATCAAAGTTGATCAGAAGATACCGGTATATTAAGATAACCCTGGATAATCCTGTATAATGTGTGGTTTAGAGGCTGCAAACACCAGGAACTAGACAGTTCTCTTTCCAGAAACGGAGAAAATGTACTTGGTCAAAGGATATTCATGTAGTGCAAAGGTCTGGTGAAAAAACGGAAGAACTTTTCGTCCAATTCGGCTGAGCTTCGGTCATTTCTATATTTTCGAGATATGCAAAGCTGTGAGACACATAGCTCAAAAGAAAAGCTCTATAAATCTAATTTCCTTCCATTTAGTGTTGCACATAAAACATGGTAGTTTTAAAAATCCAACTTGAGTGATTTTTTTCTTTTAAAGTTCTGCATGTTGTGATGGAAATTAATTGTATAATTCAGCATGATTCAGAAAGTTAATCTTTGCAATATCTAGATGTTAGATTAGTTTTTTCATAAACCAAAAATCTACAAAAACGAAAACCGTATTTTAAACATTGCAGCTTTCAGTCTACACATAAATCAACTTATTTAGAGTTAACTTATTAACTCACTTGCCCAATTGTTGGTTGAAATGAACAAAGATTCGCCATTAATATAAAAACTGGTGTGTGAGAAGTTTCTCAGCCTTAATGGTTTAGTAACAGAAAATATTACAAAGAAGAGCTTCAGCTCTGGCTCTATTAGTTGCGTCTTCAAGGTGTTAATTACTTTCAGGTTTCAGTAAACAACCAACACTAAATGAGTAAACTCTCTAAACAATCAAATATTTTTATATCTTTTTTCATAGTTTTATCAGCCTTAATTAGGCATGCCTCTATATATCTTAAACTAGAAAAGCCCCCGGAGACCGCAGACCTCTGCTTAGCAGTGAATTTTGCCTGAAATTGTGACTTATAACTTATACATGATCTGGATCATTACTAAATTTAGGTATGAGGGACACTTCTTTGAAAAATGTCATTAAAATTCATCCATATCTTTTAAAGTTATCCTGTAAAAAGAGAGTGAGACAGACATAAAAAACACACACAAACTCTCCTAAAAACATAACCTCCTTGGGGGAGGTAATAAATGTAAACCAGATAGGACAAAGCTTTGCAAAAACCATGAAGAAAACAAGTAGGCAAGAATGAAAATTTAAAATGCATTTTATATTATATAGCAACATTTCAAGTGAAAACTATTGGGGTTGAAGACAATGGCAAATATCAGTGTTGTTTACCTTCAAGTATTTGTCCATTTACTGTCATGAAAAGCCGTTGCACAAAATACCAGCGATGGCAAACATAACAGGAAAACACAGGTATTGCACAAATTAGATCATAAAACAATAACCATAACACAACATGGGGGGACTGGTAGAAATGAAACGACAGGAAACTTTCTTGTAAACCAAAGAAAGGGTCAGCAAGACAAGTTCAGGAACCACTGCAACTATTTTACTTTATCACAATGAATTTGCAGTTTGTACCATATTTTTTTTTATAGCTGCACAAAATAATCCTTTACTAGTTAGCACAATGTTTCAGTAGAGTAGCGCATACTTAAAAATAGTCTCACTAAAAGTGCAGAACTGGTGGTCATAGCTTCACCTTGAGCTGCAATCCTCACTTTCATTTTATCAGATATGACATTTTTTTAAATAAAAAGTATATTTCAAGCATATGAGGGATTTATTTGCTTTGCTACAGTATGCATGTGGCTCATATTTAAAAATATACTGGAGAGAGTGAGCTAACTTTTCATTTTCATGAGGTACATTTTATTACTGTATTAATTTATCCAGTAAATGTAAGAAAAAACTGTAACAAACCTGTAGAGCATCTAAAATAGTCCTAATGTAACAGGAAAACATTTTATAATGACTAATAACAGCTTTATGATTTGTGTTTCTAGCTTTATTAGCTTCTGCAAATTGCTGTTATGAGTAAATAAATAATATGGTTAAACGCATATAAGAAAAGAACAGTGTTTTCCTCAACATTTACACACAAAACACAGTACAACAGCCTCCTAAAACACAGAGTACATGTTTTTCCTGATCTGCCAGATCTCCAGTGTTTAGATACTATATCCTGCTGAAGCCAAAACTCCCATATGTTGAACCGTATCTGAAACATTTAGACCTATTCTTTAAAAATCTAACAACTGCAATTGTTGTTATTGGCTCTCGTTATGCAAAACAAATCAAATCTGCTTAAGACTTTGGGTTACACTGGATGTAATAATCCAGCAAACAGGTGGGGAGAACAGTGTGCTTGTAGTCAAGTTGCTTGTTTGGCTTTGCCCTGGTCCTCCACCTTTTTAATGGCTGCCTGAATCTTAGCCTGGTCTCCCAGCAGCTGTCGAGGTTTCACCGGTTTGAGGTTCCCGTCCAGCTCGAGGAGCACAGGTATCCCCGTTGGTAAAGTCACTTTGGCGATCTCCTCATCTGAAATACCTGTTAAAAGAGGAGACTTAATTGAAGTTATAAATGTAAATAGTGTCTGTCAATTTACAGTTGATTGGTTTTATTTTCTAAATTCAACAACAGTTAAGTTGATGCTTTTTTTTTAACATTGGTTCAGAAAAGATTTCTGAATATAAGATATTATACTTTTGTTATTATTATCTTTATAAATACCAAGATATGTCGCTATTACCTCTAAAAATATTGTGAGTTATATAAAAAAGCACGAAAAGCCACTTTACCCTGATTGTACTTTTAATGTTAATTATATAGAGCTGTTCTCTGTTACTTTAACTTCCTGTTTCTTTATAATTTACTTGTTTTCATGTTGTTGTAAAGCTTATAGCCAAAGCAGATTACGTAAACCTGAGTTTTCTCTGTAGTTTTGCTGCTATATGCTTAAATTGCAGCAGGAAATGCTGACTACTCTTCCTCACTGCTAGATTCTTCAACCACTTCCCTAATATGCATGGTCTGAAGTTATTGCTGTCACCAGCTTTATTTTCTTTTTATTTGTTTACCTCTAGCCAGCTTCTCTTGGAAGTTTCTTCCTGTTAAAAGAAAGTTTTCTTAAAACTCTCACTACATGGAAGCTCAGTATGAAGGGATTGCTAATAAATTGCTAAGGGATAGCTAATAAATTCATACGTTGAAATTAACAATCAAGCTTTTTGGATACAAAGGCTTTAATCTCTTACAGGTTTGACTGAAGCAGAGATAAAGAAGCGTTCTTAACCCTCAGAAATTAAGATGTTTTCCAGGACCCATCAATCATGGGTGAGTCCTGAGAAAAAAAAAAATAACTCCATGTACTTCCTATGTTATCTTGTCACATTACAAAGAGGGATATTTATGTATTTTCCAGGATTTGATGGTACAGACCAAAGCAAAATGGTTGCTGATTAGGTACATAAGAAAAATGCTGAGCTCAAACTTAAACCTTTTGGTGTGAGTGAGCGACTGAACGTATTGGAAAGCGCTTTGACGTCCTTTGAATTCACAAAATGCTATAATAGTGCTATGTGCTAAAGCAATCTAACATCACACATCACCATCAACCTGTTTTCTAGATTGAGACAAGATAGTGTCAGTATTCTACTGTGGGATTATCGGATTTTCTGGACTATAGAGCACACCTTACTATAAGCCGCGGAAACTACATTTTTTTAAATAACGTGAAAAGTACATATATAAGGCGCACTGGCCATTGCCTCTGATATCCACTGAACTGTCTCCCACCAAACCTGTAGGGGGAGCTCTACATGTAGCCCCTGGAGTAGGGAAGAGGAATAAAGCTAGCTCCCGTTAGCTTGTTGGCTCACAGCAATAAGAACTTCTTTTAAAGGATGGGGCTTTGTCGGCTCTTTATTTCAGCTCTGCAGGAGTTGAGCCCAGTCTCTGCATTGGTTCTGCCGCTTTAATGCAGCAACAATAAAGTGAACTGGGGAAATTTGTTCTCCGTTGTGCTCCTATGCTAAAGGGAGCCTAGGCGGAAGTTGAACTGAATAAACTAATTGCTCTCCTACATCTACCTACAACACAGCCAATCAGATTTGAACCACGCCTCCACGAATGTCAATCCGCATCCAAAGTTCATCTTAAAAGGCCTCCAATCCGCAACTCGTCTGCTACCTAGTGCGCAGGTGGTGGTTGCTCTGTGTGACTCCATTCAGATGACCCCGTTTTAACCCACCTACAGCCCATCCTCCGCCGTCGTAGCTAAAACTTAATCAGAGTTTCATTACTCCAGGACTCTTACTGCATTCCGTATCTCATTTCAACCGTTACGGCAGAAGACCGGCATGTTGAGCCTGGTTCTGCCAGAAGTTTCTTCCCAAAAGGGAGATGTTCCTCTCCACTGTCGCTCCTTGCTTGCTCATCATGGACAGGTTCTCTCAAACAGTGTTATCCAAACTGGACCTCCATCTTCCAGGTCCCTGAGTGAAGCTCTAGTATTAGCTCACGCAGTCCACTGGATCTCCCCATAAAGCATCCCGTCTCGCCAACCAGCAGATTACAGACAGACCAACTTCCTCTATCTCTACTCCACTATCAGTTTCAGGCGGGGGGACACAGCCCTGTTCTTTACTCCTGTTCATGCATATCAATCAAAATTCAGTGCTGTTTCCTGTCAAGGTCTGAGTGCCAAAGACAATGTAGATTTGAAGACATATTTCTTCTAATCGTCTTTGCTCTTCGTGTGAGTTTTTCAGATCGAAATGAAAATTAGCCCCTTATTCTTTCATTTTCAACTAACTCTGGCGGTTAGGAAAAATCCACAGAAAATCTGCACCTACTTATAAGCTGCATGGTTCAAAGTGTGGGAAAAAAGTAGCAGCTTATATTCCAGAAAATACGGTATGTGGGGATCAAGACAACATCGCAGGGCAAACCTAGAAGACAAATGTTACACGCTGCACAGGTGAATGTCAGTTAATTTAAACGGAAAATATAGTACATCTAATCCTCTGGTCACATTATAATACATAATAAAGATGAGGTTCTTAGTTCCATATCAAACTTTTGAATATCTACAGGTTTCATTTTTTTTTTCTTAATCGGCAATAATAAAATTGTTTAGTAAACTTTAAAGACGAGTTATCTTGTAAAAGTTATTGATTGAATAAATAGAGAGATGGCCCACTTAGACCAAAAAACACCTACAAGTGAAGTAAAAGGTCAGCAGGGATTTCATATTACAGTTAAATGTAACATAAACTTGATGACCTTTTTGCACAGGTTCATGCTTCCATTTCTGGAGCTGAATTACTGTATGCACTTCCTAATTCAGTGACTCTTATGAGTAACAGTGGCCTTTAAAGAGGAGAAGTATCAACTGATTTCACTAAATTAGTCCCACATAGAAATGGGATTAAAACAGCATACCTTCCAAGTGTTTGAGGAGGGCCCTGCAGCTGTTTCCATGAGCTGAAATCAGCACAGTTTTGCCTTTCTGTATCTCTGGAACCACAGTGCTGTTCCAATATGGCAGCAGCCTGTCCAGAACTTCTTTCAGGCTCTCTGCTCGGGGGAGATTCTCCTTCGGCACATCACATGTGGTGTATCTGCGATCATTGTAGATCTCCAAATAGTAAGGGTGGGATTCATCAATCAGTGGTGGAGTGATGTCATAGCTCCTTCGCCACAGCTTGACCTTTTCCTCTCCATGCTGCAGAGCCATTTCAGCCCTGTTGAGTCCGATCAGGGCCCCATAGTGGCGTTCATTAAGCCTCCAGGACTTTACAACTGGGACCCACTCCTGGCCCATTGCCTCCAACACCAGCCATGCTGTCTGGATGGAGCGGCTGAGTATGGAGGTGAACACCAAGTCAAACTTGTAGCCCTGCTCCTTCAGAAGCTTGCCACAATCCTGGGCTTCTTTCACTCCATCCTCACTAAGCTTCTGGTCCACCCAGCTGCAGAAGCGGTTCTCCTTGTTCCAGGCCCCCTCTCCATGCCTCAGCAAGAACAGTTTGTACTTGGACATCCGAAGAACTGGTGGCAGAAAAACAACAAAACAATATTCAACAGAAATAAAACTGAGGGGGATCTGGGTGACAAAAACAGGGGTATCTGAATTATACAGGGGTATTAACACAAGGTGATCTAAAAAAAAAAAAAAGTGACGGATTCTCCTCTAAACCATGCAAATATTCATCCATTATCATTATTTTAAATAGAGGGGTTAAATAAACAGAACAAGCCGCAATAACCGCTGTTTACAACAGGAGCATTACTAATGTATGGTGGAGCTAAAAGGATGGGAGACCTTCACAGTCAATGCTGGGTTTCATCACAGCCGTTCAGAGAAACAGTAAAGCCTTACATGCAACGTCAAATAATTTCCTGTAACAATCACCATGTATTAAAAATGCATCATCTTACCCTGGTTTCGTTTTAAACCCGGTAGAAATGCAGCTGATACTCTCGTCAGTGTTGACAGGACTCTCCAGGCCACAGCAGCGTCCCGCCCAGAACGTCAATGACTGGCGTTACAGTTGACCAATCAGAAAGCTGATTTCACCGTAAGGGGGCGTTTCCTCCTGGACATGTTATGCCCATATTAGGAGGGCAGAAAACCTTCAGAGCGGAGGAAGGAGACGATGGGGGAAGAGGCGGAGGGGCGGAACTACCAGCTAGTAGTTGTGTTAATTGTTTACGTGAGGTAGA